AGCAATCACTTTCACTCTTAACTTTTGCAGAGGGCCAGGCCTAGGCTATGCACCTGGAAGGGACTTGCTCTTTCAAACGTCACAACCGCGGAACACATTTAGTACCGCAGATGGCCCCATCTTACAGATGAGAAGATCACGGCTTAGAGAATGATCGCACACCCAGTACGTGCAGAGAAGGAAGATGGCAGACTCCAATCTAACCTCAGCCCCTCCCTAGGCCAACCTGGAAACTGCCAGGCGGAATCTTTAGATGGCTCGTGAGGGCCCAGAATGTGCCAGATTGTGAGGGTGCGCCGCGAGGGTGTTTTGTTCACATTCACTAACTCATGAGGGCTGACCGCGGGCCAGGGCTCCCTGCAGCCTCTGGGGAGGCCCAAGACCTGTCTTACACCAGTTCCCACGCCCCACGCCCCACTAAAGCTGGGCTGGGAAATCGAGGACAGGGGTAGAAGACGGGGCTCCGTGTGACCAGAAGGGAGCTATGTTTGCTACCACTCCCGAGCTGGTCACTTCCAAATCAAGAATGCTTAAAATCACCACCTTCTCCCCAGATCTGTTCCTGAACATTACCCACCCCCCAATCCAGCTTTTCTCCTCCTTTTCTGCCCCTCTGGATCCATCCTAGCAGCCCAAGCCTCTCCCAGACCCCCAAACCCTGGCTGCCTCCTTCCTCCTTCCCCGGTCACTGTCACCTCCCCAACCGCCTCCTCACCGCTATCTACCAGACAGCCTCCAGCTGGCAACCCAGACTAATTCTGTGAAATGCTTATTCTGAAATAATTTCAAACTCCAAGAGAAGTTTGACCTAGCGCAATGACCTACCATATGACCCTCCCCAGGTCCAGCCGTCGTGAACTCTCTCACCCTCTCCATTACCCGGTGTCCGTGATTTATCGGTGTCTCCCATACATAGATAAATTACAGATACTACTTTTTCTCTTCCCGAGCCATTCCTGAGTCAGCGGTGGCCATCGCATCTCCTGTCCCTAATCATGTCAGCGTTCTTACTTCCAAAAAGCAAGGACATTCTCTTCCAAAAGCACTGTACAGTTATCAACTTCATGAGACCTACTATTGATCTGATACTATCAGCTAACCTACAGCCCATACTCCAATTTCATCAATCGCCCCCAGGATGTCCTTTAGAGCAATTTCTTCCTTGATCCAAGATCCAATCGCAGGCCATACGTTGCCTTTTGCTGTCACATTTTTTTCTGTCTTTTAATCAGGAACAGTTCTTGGCCTTCCTTTGTCTTGTTTGCCACGGACACTTTTTTTTTTTTTAAGAGTCCAGACTCTTTCTGTAAAACGTTCCTCACTTCGAATCACTACCTCCTTTTAAAACCCTGAACTGCCTTCTCATTCCTCAGCGTAAAATCCCAAGACCTCAACACTGACCTTCGGGGACCTGCAGGGTCCCCCTCCTGCCCTACCCCCAGCTCATCACTTCCCCCACCCCTGCCCACTGCCCTGCTCCTACCGACCCTCACTCCTGGGAGCCCCTCACTCCAGCTCAAACAGACCTCGGGCATACTCTTTCCTTCACAGCCTGTACCTCTATTTAAAATTATTTCCTTCGCTGATTTGTGTGCTCGCTGCCCAGCCCCCACACTAGGATAGGAGCTCCAAGGAGGGCAAAGATTTTTGTCTGGTCATTGCCGGATTGCCAGAGCAGTGCCTGGCACGCGGGATGCACTTGGAAATGGTTTGCCGAACCATTTGTACAAGAAAGGAAGCGCTTAGATTGACAGCCAAAGAACCCGCAGGCTCAGAGAGCCAGGGGGCTAGAGAGGCCCTTCTGGAGTCCAGAAGCTTCCCCAGGCCTCTGCCACACTTCGTGCTTCGGGCTGGAGAAGGGAGCACCCAGCACATCTCCTTTATCTCTTGATCGCATCACTCCACCAGCCAGTCCCACTGATTAATCTCTTTAAATCAATCCCAGTAGGTCAACGGGCTGGATTCCAGAGATAGAGCTGATGCACCCAGGAAAAGGCCTGTGGCCCCCTCCCTATTGTCCACTGGCCAGTCCAAAGTGCGTGGCCTCTCTCTCCATACTGATCCCTGGGTTCCACCCCCCATTCATGTATCTTCCAGGGCCCAGCCAGCCTCAGGAATGGGGGCAGGGAGAATAAACATCCAAGTACAAAATCCTGCTAATAGGTCTTTAATTGCAGTCTGAGGAGGACTGGGAGTCCAGGCCTCCCAACCCCAAAGCACAGAGGCAAGCCTACCAGGTGCTTGTCACTTACTTGTCCATTTCACTGACTCCTGCTAACATTTAAGAGCTCACTGGCTACAACAATACTCAAGGTTATGGGAAAAGTAATGGCTAACCAAAGCTTTCATTCTTGACCTACCTCCTCTTCTGCCCAGGAAAGGACAGAACCCCTCAGCCTAGACCCATGATACAGGAAAGGCATCTTCTCCTGGACATCTTCACTCACCACAACCCCCGTCAACACCTGCCTGCACCGGGTCACAGCCCAGCCCGAGCTTTCTCGGGCAACTCCCTCCGCCTAGGAGGGCTGGATTCGCAGGCACTCCCACCTACTCTGCCGAGCAGACTGAGAAGGGGTCCAGAGATAACCCGGCCTCTCACTGCCTTGCTGTGTGACCCAGGGCACCGGGCTCAGCCTCTCCCGGGTTCCCAGAACAAAAACAAACAAACAAAGATAGGGCTGATAACGCTGGCCAGACCTAAGCTGCTGACAGCCAAGTAGGAGAAGCGCCTCAAAGAGAAAATTTAGCACCTGCACCCAGCAAAGAAAGAGGGGGAGGGGTGCTGGGTTGAGGAATTTGTAATCCACCCCACCCAAGCAGTGAATGGGAAGCAGCTCTCCACCTCCAGGCTAATGGGATTAGCACAGGGTTGGGCTCTAGGCGTTGGCCTAGGGTCCAGGGTCTCCCAGCGGCCACTCAGGGTAGGGGGAGAAAGGGGGAGCACCAGCGCCCTCCGGGCCTTCGTTCCCAGGTGAGCCCAGGCCAACCAGCTCTTCCCAGAGCCAGCCTGCTACTTCCTCCATGACCTCAGCGGCCAAGCACGCAGAAGTCAGGCAGCTCCTAAAGGAGGAGGTGCAGAAGACAGGCCTTTGCAGCCACGTCCAACTGGACTTCCTCCTCCTGCCTGCTAGTAACCTCCTGCCTCAGCCTCCCCATCAACCCCATGGGTGTTTGGTGGTCTGTCTCGGGCCCCTAGCTCGCTGCAGGCAGACCCAGGCACCGCTTGATAGGGGATGTTTGCACTGCTGCTCATTAGGGCACTTGGCCTCTGCTCATGCAGGAACCAAACTCTAGATGGGGCGCCCTCTCCCTGGCTGGGGGAAGGCAGAAGGCCAGCCAGGAAGATCCAGGCTCTGACTCCCAGGCTGAAGAACTTGGTCCTCACCACCCTCGCTCAGGACTAAGTGACCGGATGAGCTCAAAAGACACGCGAACACAAAAATTACTGTGGCCTCTGGGGGCGCGCAAAAGGGGATGGCCCCAGCGGCCCTTTGTACCCCAGGACAGCCCAGACCCCTCCTCTAGAATCCCGGCACCCCTCCCTCACCCACAGCACACATTTGAGAGAAAATCGTAGCCCTGGTCACGGACCCCTGGGCAGAAATGTGGCCGCAGCTCCTTGGTGGGGGTGGGGGGGACGACACACGCGCGCCCCGAGGCCAAGACCCAGTCCTCGCGCCCCCGCGGGCGGGGATGTACGCGCTCGCCGCCCCGCGAGTGCCCCTCCCCTGCCCAGCGCTTCACAAAGGCCCTTTGTCCCGCCGAGCCCCGGGACTCCGGTTCCTGAAAAGTTCCATGAGAAAAATCAAAGAGAGGCAAAACCGGGCGAGCGCGGCCTCGCTCGAGCGGGCAGGATCGGTGGGACAGGGCCAGGGAGGCCAGAGGCGTTCCTTCCAACGCCGAGGGCAGAGTCGGCGGCTCCCCGAGAAATCGCAAGGCTCCCAGTCTACACTCTGGAAGTGGGAGAGGTGGATTTTTTTTTTTTTTTTTTTAAGTGAAGCGTAGGACGTCTGTCGAAGAAGCTGGAGGCAGCCAGGGAGGAGGGACCGGGTGTCCTTCGGCGGCAGGTCTGGAGGTCCCCTGGTCTCCCTTCCCACCCTGCCCGACTGCAGCGGCCGCGGCCAGCTCAGGACAAGCTTCTCCTGCCCGGGTGCCATCCCTAGCGAGCCTGAGCGGCCCTCTCGGAAAATGGCAGAGGCCTCCGGGCCCTCTCCGCCACCTCCTCCCGCGGTTCCATGTCAGACCCAAGGTTTTCCCTCCACCGCTCGGGGCCGGCCAGATCCGCTCCCACGCCGCTTCCTTCCCCTAGCTCCGGGATGGCGGTGGCCTAGTTTCTGCGCCCCATCGCGCCGCGCGCCTGCCGGAGAACACCGGGTTTGTGGTGTCGGAGCTGCTGCGCTCCTGCCAGGGTGTGAGTTCTGGGACAGCCGCTCTCCTTCCGCAAGTATCCGCCCGCCGGCCGGAGGCCGAGATCTCCGCCCTCCCCACAGCCCCACTGCTGAGAGGTGCCCGGAGACCCCGCGCCGTGCGACTGGAGGAGCTGGAACGGAACCGGGGCCCATGGGCGCCGGGCAAGGGCGTTTGCCAAGAAAAGGATCCGAGCTCGGGGAACGGATGTCTCAAAGGGTGTGAAGCTGGTTCATTCTTTTCTTGCTCAGATTTTGTGAAAACCCCAGCCTGGGCTGGAGCTTCAAGGGCCCCGGGATTTCGCCCCGGTGGCTCGGATTTCGGCAGACGCGTGTGCTCTGGGAGGGCACCGGCGCACCGGGGAAAGCAACCGAGCAGCGCACCCCTTTCCGCCGGGTCCTCGGGACTGGCCTCTGTCCCGGGCCCGGGAAGCTGAGCCTGTCCTCACTCCCGTGGACCCGCCGAGGGAAAGGGAGGTGCCGCGTCCCTGCCGAAAACGCCCATAAACAGGCTGAGCAGTTTTGCCCGGGCCTCCCTCCCCCAGGATCCCGCGGGGACCGGAGGGGGCGGCCACGGCGCGGGGCACTTACCCGGGTGCGGGTGGAGATTGAGGCCGGCCATGTACTTCCCGGGCGGCAGCGGGCCGGGCAAGCCAGAAGCGGGCAGGCGTCCGGCCGCAGCGGTGCCCACGCGGTGGCTGTCCATAGCCAGGCCGGACAGCAGCGGCGGCGGGGGGCCGTGCACGGACCGCGGGGGCCCGAAGTCTCGGCCATCCATCCTCCGCGGGAGTGCCGCAGCCAGCCCCCCACCCGGCCCGCGGGCCTCGCTCAGTGGGACCTAAAAGTTCGGCCTCGGCGTAGTCCCAGAGTCCTCGGGCGGCGGGGGCTCCGCGGCGTGCATGGCGGCGGCGGCCAGCGGGGTTTGCGCTCGGCTGCGGGCCCGCGGCCCGGGGCGCACAGGCGGCCGGCGGTGGGGCCCCTCCGGGCGGCCAGGCGGAGCTGAGCGAGGCGGCGCACACGGCGTCTTGGAAGGGAGAGGAGACGGGCCACAGAAGAAACGGGGGGGGGGGGGGGGGGGGAAAAGGGGGGGGGGGGAAACAAAGTTTCAGAAAGTCGTCTTGCCGTTCGGGGTCGGGGACTGCGGATTGGGTGGCCAGAAATGAAATCGGGGGTAACCCCTTTTCCTTAAAAAGTAAAAATCCATGCTCCTTCCTCCGGCGGCTTCGGGCTCCCGGGCACTTGGCTCGGTAAGTGGCCGGCGGCGCACTGCGCCCCAGCCCAGACTGGCTCGGCGGCTCACGGGTCCTCCCGAAAGTGGGGAAGGCCCCTCAGCCGCGCCCCGGCTGTATAAATACAAAACCTCCCAAGTGGGACTGATTCCTGGGCGTTACATGCTGCAGGGTTTCAAAGCGTGAAACCTTTTCCACGAGCAGTTCGAAATCTCTCCCTAAACCCTGTGTCACTATCTGATCCGGCAAGTTTAATATTTAACCTTCTTGGCCCCTGGCCTGCCTATTTTGAGTCTGCTTTCCCTAAGCTCGCCCAGAGCCACCAATTAGCGTTTTGTTGTTGTTGTTTTGTTTTGTTTTTCGGGAGAGAAGGTGCAACGCCGGTTTATTATTTTTAAAGAGACTCCGTGCCTCCTCCCGCCGCCCCACTCGGGCCACTGTGAGTCGCAGAGTCTGAGTACGAGGACCCGAGACGTGGCATTCTCGCCCGAGGACTGGAAAGAATCCTTCAAAACAAGCTTTGGTTTCATTTTCCAACGCCTTGGCCTGGGAATCCTGCGGCCCGAGGACGTGGCCTGGCGCAGGGGATCTGGGTGGGGGGGCGGTCAGAGAGGAAGCAAGGGGCTCGAGGGTCTTGCTCCTACCCTAGCTTACCCCCCAACCCAAAAATAATCTACAAAGAAAACCTTTGCAACGCGGGCAGACCAAGGGGCGCCTCCCCCAGCGTTGGGTAAATCCCCCTGTAGTTCCAGTTTAAAGCTGTTTGTTTAAAAGATTTGTCCTTTGCCGATTCCCATGGGGGCGGGAGGGGGTCTTGGAGCCAACCGTGCCCTCGCTCTCCGTCTGCCCGCAGCAGCTCGGATTCCTGATTCTGGGAGGCCCGGGCGCTCCTAGAGCCGCCGATCCACGCCAAAGCCACCAGCTCCGGGTGCCCGCCCTGAGCCCCGCAACCGGCGCCCAGCCCCGCGAACTGCAGACCCCCTCCGCCGCAAACCGCCCCCCCCCGGTCTCCTTCTCCAGCCTCCCTCCCCAACTTCGCTAAGGGTACTTATTTTAACCCGGTTTTGGTTACAAACACCCCCTTCCCTCCCTCCCTCGCTCACTCCCATCAGGCTCTGGTTACCAGATCCGCGTTTACTTTGGAAAAATCTAAGATCGCCACATCCGAGGATACATGTCTTAAGGAGGCGATGAGCTTTCCGTGATTTTTTTTTTTAAATGTTCTTTGTGTAGCTTTCTTTTTTAAAGCTAGCGCTTCGGAGGCTGCCCCGACGCCCCACTTTGGGGAAGTCGAGGTGACGGCCCCCGGAACACCCTCGCTCTGGTCGAGAAGCTGGCTCGGCCATCTGCGGGCTCCGCTGCGTTCTCTCTACTTTTCTCCCCCTCTTAAATGCAGTTAAAATGGCTGAATTCCGGCTTTTAATTAAAAACAGCCTATAATCGAAAACGTCTCGGCGTCCCTGGCTCCCCCGCCGCCTGCCGGGAACCGAGAAGGGAACCGACGCCCCTCAGCTCGGCTGGGCGGGCTGGAGCGGGGCTTGAGGGCTCAGGTGGGCGCCCGAGGCACCGTGGCCCGCCCCCACCCTTCCCAGGGTGCCCCCACCTCGCCGACGCCGGTCCCCGATCCAGCTCTTGGGGGCCGGAGAGCTGCGGGGATCCCCCGCGCACCCCGAGGGGGCGGCGGGTTGGGGGGGTCAGCCGGAGAAGTTTGGAGACCGTCGCGCCCGGCCAGGGACGGACGGGCGGCCCGGCGGCGTACCTGGCGCGGCGGGGCTCCCGGCTCCAGGCTCCGGTGACTGCGACTCCGGTGGTGGCCCCGGCTCCCGGCGCGACTAGGCGCCCGTGCTGCCCGCCATCCCGCGGCTGCTGCTCCCCTTCGCCACCCGCAGCCGCCTCACACTTTTTGCCCGCCTTTCCTTTTTTTGGTAGAAAACCGCTCCCCGGGCCGAGCGCTCCGCGCGCCAACTCCTCCGCCCTCCCGCGGCCCGGCTCCCGCAGCCCCCGGAAAAGCCAGCTTTCCTCCCGCGGAGCTCCCCGCTTTTTAATAAAATCCAGGTAGCGCCGGTTTAAAGAATCCCAAATCTCCATATACAGCCCGGGATTGGAAAAGGTACATTACACAACCCCCCTTTCAAGTTCCTCTCGCTGGATCTAAAAAAAAAAAAAAAGCCAGCGGGAGGGGGGAGGGGGCGGCTGGGGGAGGGGAGTACTCTCCAGCGAAGAAACGCGCATTGTTCCCGGGTGCCCGCCTCCCCCCCCCAGGCCGGCCCCCGGCCTCCATCTATTGGCCGCGCGCACCGCCAATCACGCGCATGTAAACACCTTGGCCCTCAGCCATTCCTATAAAACCAATTACGGACCAAGGGGCTCCAGCAGTTTCCAGGCTCCCCAACGGCGGGGCTGAATGATCAAAACTGGTGGTGAGAATTTTTCCCGGCCGTTTCTAGGCAGCCCTCCCCCTCCACCAGCTCGGACCCCCCCCTTTCCTCCCTCTCCTCCCTCTTCCTACCCCCTCCCCCGGCGTCTAGGCTGAGTGATCAAAATAGAGGAAGATGGTTGTCGCCGCAATCCAGGGCTTTGCAAGGCGCGGTTTAATGGGCCGCCTGTCAGCTTCCTGCTCGCAGGAGGAGGTGACAAGCCGAGCGAGCCGGGAAGGGCCTAGGGCCCGGCGGGCTGCACCCCGCGCCCGGGCCCTGGCCCCCTACCTCCCCTGGGGCGCGCCTTCCAGAACGCGCGCTGGAGACGCCAAAACAGACAAGGGCTGCTTTTTCCCTTTTTAACTCCCCCTTTTAAAACAAAGCAGCGATTCATTCCCTTTCCCCCGGCAGCGCGGTTGGGTGGGATGGGCAGGCGTGAAGGCCGTTTTCCTCGCCTCGGCCTGCGGGTCCCTCCCTGAAACGCGGTGTCAGATGGTTACTGATTAATATTTTGGAGAGGCCGCGGCGGCGGGTAGCGGGTGAGTCTCTAATCTTCTAAAAGGGGTTCCTATAGAAACGCGGGCCGGGACGCGCCCCCCGCTCGGCTTCGGCCGGGGCCGCTGCGCTTTGCACCGCGCGCCCTTCCCCAAAGCCTTTCTTTGCGTGGGCGCGCCCCTCCCCTCCCCCCCCCCCCCCCAAAAATCAGAGCAGAAAAAAGGATTAGATCGGCTGAGCGCGAACTGACTCCCTCTCGATTCTGACATTTCAGCCTATTAGCATTTCTCCACGGGGCCTTCTGAAACCTATTAAAGTGTAATATTAAAAACCTCTTGGCTGGGGTCCTCTCTCGCCTTCCATCCGCCGCGCCCCCTCCAGGGAGGGCGAGACCGGGAAAAAAAAAAAAAAAATCTGTTGAGCTCAGAGGAAGCAGAAGCCAAGCCCAAAAAGTGCTTGGCTGGCCGCGGCGGCGGGAGGGGGAGGGGAGCCCCAATCCCCCAGACTTTGTACTTTTATTTTGCGCTTTCAGCAAAATCCTTTCTGGGTTGAGTCGCCGGGAGCTGCCCGCGGCAACCTACTTGGCTGCGGGCGCGAGGACTGCGGACGCGGTCGGAGGGGCAGCCCTGGGGCCCCGCACCCTCTCTACAGCCCCGCAGGGACCCGTGCCCGGCTGGGCATTACGTACCCTCAAATGGAAGCCTGGAGGGGCAGAAATCCTTGCCGCTCCTGCCTCGGAGAGCAACCGCGGTGATTAGATTTTAATTAAAACAAGAGAAGCCCGCTCTTTCGCCCCGCGCTGCGGACTCAGCGTTTTCGCATTGCTGGGTCTTTTTTTTTTTTTTTTTTTTTTTTTAATCCATTTTTAAGCAACTTTTCTGGAGGGGGAAAAATGAGCTAGTTAGCGCCCGTTTGTTTTATTTTCTTTTCTCTACTTTTAGAAGAAAACGGGGAGGAGGGATAGGCTTGGAGAAAGCGAACTGGGGGTGTCTAATTTAATTCTAGTATAAATTTGAGGAAAAAAAGTTCAGCCTCTTGAGGGCAGTTTCAAGTTGCCCTTCCAGGAGCCTCTGCGCTGGTTTCGAGGCTGCCCTCTTTTGGAAGCTGGAGCTCCGCAGGGGGAGGAGGGAGGAGTGAGAAGTAAAGAAAGGAACGAAAATAGCCGGAGCCGAGGGGAACAGCGGCGGTGTCCGCGCTTGGAGCAGGGCGCGCAGGTCTCAGTGGCGGCTGGGGCGGCGGGAGGTTCCCGGTGCGGCCCCGGGACGGCCAGCAGCAAAGACGGAGAGGAGAGGGGGGTTAGAGAAAGGAGGTATTGTGTTTTGTGTGCCTTGGGGGAGGGGGTTGACTGCAGAAATAAAATAAATGCAGTTGAGCTGCGTGGGGCTGCTGGAAGCCGAGGCAGGGGAAGGGTCTGTGCGTGGGGGCGCAGCCCCGGTAGGCGCCGAGCATCCTTGAGCCTTATCCGAAGGCCTTTGTGGGTTCCTAAAAGGCCCTCCCACGCCTGAGCCCCCATCGTTTCCCCACCCCCCTGGTTGCCCTCCAATATTCGGAGCCCAGACCCTGATCCCCCACCCCATTATCCCCGCCCTGGATCTGGAATGGGGTTTTTTGTGTGGGGGGTTTTTTTGGTTTTTTTTTTTTTAATTTTCGCATAGCTCAGGCAAAAAATATGTATCTTGACAAAGTTGAGGTGGGGAATACAAAGGACTTGAGGGTTGGTGGGGGGGGGGAGGCCTGTTTTTATAAATGTTTAATGTTTTCACCCCTGGATGCT